CCAGCCAGACAAACTTAGAAATATCCTTCTGCCACTTTCCAAAACATTCCACTCTGTCCACGATCTGTAGGGTCTGAAACAAAAATAACATCTTTGGCAATACATTCATTTTTATAGCTGCAATTCTTCCCAACAAGGAAAGTTTCAATCTTGACCAAATCTCTAAATCTTTTTTAATTTCTGACCAACATTTTTCATAGTTGTCTTTAAATAAATTCTAATTTTTAGCAGACAAATTTACCCCTAGGTATTTCACCTTTTTAACCACATTTAGTTCTGCCTCTTTCTGAAACCTCTCTGTTTCCAGGGGTGTCAAATTTTTCTCCAAAACCTTGGTTTTCTGCTTGTTCAATTTAAACCCCGCCACCCGACCAAATTCATGGATTAATTCTAACACTCTCTTCGTACTAGATTCTGGCTCCTGTAATGTTAAAACCAAATCATCTGCAAAGGCCTTCAGTTTAAATTGTTTCACTCCGACCTGTATTCCTTGTACCAACCGGTCTTCCCTAATCATGTTCAAAAGCACCTCCAGGACAGAAATAAATAACAGAGGGGATAGAGGGCAACCTTGTCGTGTTCCTTTTTCAATTTTAAACTCTTCTGTCACCACATTATTAACTATCAATTTAGCTTTCTGCTCTGAGTAAATTGCCTGTATTCCATTTTCAAACCCCCATCCCACTCCCATCCCTTCCAAATTTTTCTTCATGAACTTCCAAGAAATGGAAGTTCATGAAGAATAGATGCCTTCTCCGCATCTATAAAAATTAACACTGCTTTAGTATTAATATTAGTTTGCAATAGTTCCAAAATGTCAATAATATTCCTAGTATTATCAAACAAATGTCTTCCTGGGAGGAAGCCTGCCTGATCCTTGTGAATAACTTCATTTAGTACTTTTTTAAATCTGCTTGCCAAAATGTCTGCAAAAATTTTGTAATCCACATTTAGAAGTGAGATGGGACGGTAGTTCTTAAGTTGAGTCTTTTCAGTTTCCACCTTAGGAATCAATGTGATGAAAGCTTCTTTCCACGATTCCGGTGCCTTTTTCCCCTCCAAAATCTGGTTGCATACCTCCATTAGTGGTTGTGTCAAAAAGTCTTTCAGTATCTTATAATACTTGGAGGTAAGCCCATATGGGCCTGGAGATTTGCCTAGTTGCATGTTCTGAATGGCACCCTCAATTTCTTGTTGTGTTATTTTGTGATTCAGGATTGCTCTCTTTTCCTGGTCAAGTTTTGGTAATCCATTACTTTTCAAAAATTGGTCTATCTCAGTCTCTTCTTGCGGCCCTTGTGTGTAAAGCTTTTTAAAATATCTCTGGAAGCACTTTCTAATTTCTTCAGGTTTCTGAATATCTCTCCCATCGATCTCTAAATTAGTAACAGTATTCAATTTTTGTCTCTTTTTCAACTGCCATGCTAGCAGTTTCCCACACTTATTTGCTGATTCGAATGATCTTTGTTTCATTTGTTTAATTTTCCACTCGACTTCTTGATTTATTTACTTTGTATAGTACTGACAACTTTCCTATGTTCCTGTGTAGGCTCTACATATGTGTGAATTCAACATGGTGTGTCAAAGCCGTTATTGACAAGGCTAGAGTTGTAGCCATTGCTGCGTTCATAAACAGATTACCAGCCCTGAACAATCCACACCTGTCTTGAATTTACTCTGAGCTATTAAAATAAAACAAAACTGCTCAGCAGTTTTATGCAGAAGAAAAGATTTGTTGGCTTGGCTTCCAACGAAGCAACTTGCTTCAGCAAGTATGTAAGACAGCCCCAAACTGGTGCCCTGCTGACGCTTTGAATTACAATTCCCAAAAGAGATGTCATCCAGAACTTCACAGGGGCATCAGGTCTCAGAAGGCTGATGTAGGATTAAATGAGCTTGTTTTCCAATGAGACCAAGCAGGGGGCAAAGTCCTAATACAGTGGTACCTTGAGTTACAAACGCTGCAGGTTACAAACACCGCTAACCTGGAAGAGTTACCTCAAGTTGAGAACTTTGCCACAGGATGAGAATGGAAATCATGTGCTGGTGGCGCAGCAGCAGCAAGAGGCCCAATTAGCGAAAGCACGCCTCTAGTTAAGAACAGTTTCAGGTTAAGAACGGACCTCCGGAATGAATTAAGTTCATAACTAGAGGTACCACTGTATGACATTAAGTGCAATGCTCCAGGCTATGCATTTAGGAAACAGGGCAAAAACTGAAAAACAGGGGCAAGGGAAATGGAGAGTACTGTGCAAAACATGTCACTTTGGGGGAAATGACATCTATTCCTGAATATACTTGAATATTTCATTAGTTACTCTGCTATATAAAGAAGCTGTCCAAACACATTTAGCCTCTGTGAACTTCAACTCTATGGGAAGAGAAAGACTGGTGAGGAGGTAATTAATAGTTACCTTGTTATTTCTTTAGTAGGTCACAGCAGACTCAGACAACGAATCATCCTCTCCTAAGCTAGCAGCTGCTCCAGGAGCAATTAGAGGCTCTGTATGCTTCAGCTTGATAGGGTTTACCCCAGCACCACTCATTTGAAGGGCTGTTGCTCAGTGGTAAAGCTTTGCAGGCAGAAGTGTCCCTGGTTCAGGAAAGAACCCTGCCTGAAACCCTGGAAGTTTGATGCCAATTAGTTGCATCAGTGTTTTGAGGTATTTGCAGTCTCATTCACTTACTACGTTTATATCTTGTGACTGCAAGAAACCCCTGGGGTGCTTCACAAGGAAATGCCATTTATTTATTTAAAATAGAAAGGTTTGGATGTTCTCTGATGTATGCGTGAATCTTTGCTGGTTCTTTTCATCACACACACACACACACACAGTTCAGGACTATAATCTACAAGCCTTTTGACTCTACAGTGGTACCTCGGAAGTCGAGCGGAATCTGTTCTGGAAGTCCAATCGACTTCCAAAATGTTCAGAAACCAAGGCACGGCTTCTGATTGGCTGCATGAAGCTCCTGCAGCCAATCGGAAGCTGCGTTGGACGTTTGGGTTCCAAAGAACGTTTGCAAACCGGAACACTCACTTCCGAGTTTGCAGCGTTCGGGAGCCAAAATGTTTGAGTTGCAAGGCAGTCAACCAAGGTACGACTGTATTTGTAACCTGAAATGTAAAGAAAAGCTGACTATTACCGTATTTATTTGTATATTTATAAATCACAGAATTGCAGAGTTGGAAGGGGGTTTGAAGGTCTTCTAATTCAACGCCCCCCCCCCCGGGCAATGCAGGAATCTCAACTGAAGCATCCATGAATGATGGCCATCCAACGTTTTCTTAAATACCTCCAATGAAGGATCGTCCATCCCCTTACGAGAAGTCCACTGTTGAACAGCTCTTTTCTATTTAATAAGAACCAACAAATGAGCAAATCTAGGCTCCTCTGAAGGCCGATTCTTAGTGCATTTAACCTCACAGATTTTCAAAGGGAGAGCAGCAAACAGTGAAATCTTACACATTACACAGAAGCAAACCATACTGATTTCAATGGGGCTTACTTCCAAGTAAATATGTATAGGATTGCAGTCTGTGTGTGGAGAATTTCCCAGGGCCATCACAACTACAACGTAGCTTTAAAGTAACCCCAGCCCCACTTCTATGCAGACCCCCCAAAGAAAGCATCCAAATTCTGCAGTGGACAAAACACAACAGCCCTGCTGGGTCAGGCCAATGGCCCTCCCTGCATTGTGGGGTGTTGGACTAAATGGCCCTTGGGTCCCTTCCGACTCTGTGATCTAGTCCAGCAACCTGTTCCTACAGTGGCCAACCATCTCCGGGAAACCCACAAACGGAAGATGATCACAACTGCCATTCTCCCCTCCTGTGGCTTCCAGAAACTAATATTCAGATGCATTACTGCCTCCAGCTGTGGAGGCACAGCATAACTATCATGCTAGTAGCTATTGATAATATTTTCCTCCTTCACGAATTTAATTCTCTTAAATTCGTAAATTTAAAGGACTATATGTAAAGCCATATAGGTTGGTGCTGGTCATTACTGCATCCTGTGGGAGTGAATTCCACAGCTTAACTTACGGGCTGTGTGAATAACTTTCTTGTATCTGTCCTGAGTTTTTCAACATTCAGCTTCATTGGATGCCCCCGATTTCTAGTGTGCTGAGAGAAGAGGGGGGTAAAAAACTATTTTCATGTTGCCTCTTACTCGCCTTTTCCCTAAACTAAAAAGGCATCAGACGCTTGCAAACTTTCCTCCTAGTGGAGTCGCTTTATCCCTTTCCTCATTTTGATTGCCCCTTTCCGATCCTTTTTCAGCTCTGCGAGATCCTTTTTGACGTGAGGCGAAAGAAAACCGACCGATGTGTTTGTTAAGTGCTTATTTCTGCTCATCAACGACAATTAAGAAAACGCACAACTATAACAACTAAATTTTCAGTACTATGCTGAATTACAGCAGCAGATGAACACCCCATACACATGTACCTTTGAGGAAGGTCCCTATGCAGCACCACCTCCCTGTCTGGCTGGTTTGCATTTCTATATTTAAAAATAAATCCTGTCCCCCGCAAGGCGCATTTTCCACCCCATGCCGGCAGACGAGACTCGCCAAGCGGCCCAAAAAGGAATCCAAAGCAGAAGCTGCTCTATATTTCTATATCTATGGCCACAGATGCGCAGCCGCCATTGGGCCTCGTTTGGGTTTTCTTAAGGGAACCGAGCTGCGGCGCTCTACCCCTCGGCACCTCTATGGCTCCCCGCCCCCATTTCCTATGTAAGCTTTGCGAAAGCACGCCACGTTTTAATTTATTACTTAACAAACGCACACGTTTACTCTCGAGAGGGGCCCCCTCGGTGCCATCTCTCCTCGTCCGGTGTCTCTTGTTTTTAGATGTCAAGGCCCGCATTTCCGGCCTGAGAAACGACTTTCCACGTGAGACCGGAAGCCCGTATGCAGCGCGTGCCGCTCTACCCTTCCCCAGCGCCCCAACTCCACGGGCGGTCCTCCCGGGGCCGGCGCAGGGCACTCTGGGAATGTAAGGCTTCTCCCGGCGGGAAAGGCTGACGCGCGTTCCCTTTCCCGTGATGCCTTTCGCGCGGCTGAGAAGAAGAAGTGCTGGCGGCGGCTGCTGACGAAGGCACCGGCTCCCTCATGGCGGAGAAGGCCGAGGCGGAAGCGAGGAGCGCCTCGCTAGTGGAAGCCGTGCTGGCCTGTTCGGGCCGCCTGGAGAAGGAGGGCCTCAGCGGCCGCATCTCCCGCCTCTCTTGCCGGGTGGAGGAGCTCAAGGTGCGATGAAGGGGAGGGGGGAAGGGCGAGAGAGGTGGGCGGGCCCTCCGAGAGGAGGGACCTGTCACCCAATGGGCGGGACCTTGGTCGCAGAGGGGCGCGGCTTACATGGGCTCCGCCCCTTTCGAAGCTTTCCTTTTACCCCCTGAAACCCTTTAATGGAGTGATCTAAGCGAAAGTGTTTCTGAGCCCGTGCGGAATTATGTATTCTTTTATTTATTCATCACCATGTGTTGGCTATTTGCAGATTAGTTGTGCTGCAGAAAGCGTGCTGGGGAGACCACACATTACAAGGAATGCAAAATAGCTTTAAGGTAAAGGTAAAGGGACCCCTGACCATTAGGTCCAGTCGTGACCGACTATGGGGTTGTGGCGCTCATCTTGCTTTATTGGCCGAGGGAGCCGGCGTTTGTCCACAGACAGCTTCCAGGTCATGTGGCCAGCATGACCAAGCTGCTTCTGGTGAACCAGAGCAGCGCACGGAAACGCCATTTACCTATTTATCTACTTGCACTTTGATATGCTTTCGAACTGCTAGGATGGCAGGAGCAGGGACCGAGCAACAGCAGCTCACCCCGTCATGGGGATTTGAACCGCCAACCTTCTGATCGGCAAGTCCTAGGCTCTGTGGTTTAACCCACAGCGCCACCCTTGCAAAATAGCTTTAGCTAGGTTTTAATAGCAATAACAATAACTCCTTTTACACTAAATATATCAACAAGCATGACCCAACCACCAACCCATCCCGCAGGGTACTGAGAGAGCTAGGTGCTGCTCTTTATATACTATACCCAATTGCTGACACAGCTTAATTAACACAACTTAGCAGCACCTGCTATACTGTTTCACAGCTGTAAAACTAGGTCATGTTATTTGCTCTGGCCCTTAAAGTTATACACATATTGTGGAACAATAATGAACCTTTACATTTAAAGAGACCATTCAACATATTTCACCTCAAGGTGGCTTTTGCAATTCCCTCCATTTTACCCCCACAACAACCCTGAGAGGTAGGCTAGGCTGGGAGAGACAGTGACTGGCTCAAGGGCCACCTGCTGAGCTTCATGGCCGGGGAGAGATTTGACTCCTGATCTGCTAGGCCAGTAAAGTTTCCCAAACTTAAGGCTCCAGCTGTTCTGGGACCACAGTTGCCACCATCCCTGACTGCTGGTCTTGCTAGCTAGCGGTGGTGGGAGTTGTGGTCTAAAAAAACAGCTGGAAGCCCAAGTTTGAGAAAGACTGTGCTAGGCCCTAGTGCAACACTAACCACTATTCCATGCTGTGATGAGATGGCAGGTTAATTTTTTCACCCGGTAGGTAGTTTTTTTAGAGTTCGACACTGGTGTGTGTAATGATTTTTGTTTTATTTGTTAAAGGATTTCTCCTGCCATAGAATAGCAGTGTAAGATCTTTCCTTATGCTGAGCCACACCTTTGGTCCTTCCAGCTCAGTATTGTCTACACACAAATTGGCAGCAGCTTCCCCAGGGGACAGCTACAGGTCCACCTGGAGATGCCATTGGAAATTGAACCTGAGACCTTCAGCATCCAAAGTTGATGCTCTGCCACTGAGCTATGGTCCTTTCCCATAGACTTGGTCATCTAGTCCTCCCATGTTCGTCAACCAGATGTTGTTGGAGTGCCACTCTTAGGATCTCTTAACTGTTGGCTGAGCTGGCAGGGGTGATGGGAGTATTCTAGCAACATATGGCATCCCAGGGTTAAATAATAACAAATCCACTGCTTACTGCAACTACTGACATTTGGACCAAAGAGAAGTTCTCTCTGGATCAATATGACTACTGTGCCCTTGGGGGTTATTTGCCTTCCGCTGCAGCACACAACATGTGTTGCTTACTTGAGGCCTCTAAAGATAATTTGCTGTGCAGGGACCTTGTTTGTTACGCCTTTTATCTACTTGTGTTAAATTGGATGGCTTGCAATCTCTGAGGAACTGCCAAATGGAGAATCATGCTTTTGGTCAACTAATTGGGTTCTATGAGTTATTGCACTTCTGTGATTTTATGTAAGTTTGATGTGACTTTTCCTTCCACTCTTCCAGGATGACGTCTGCAGCATGGTCAACAAGAGGTACATAGAGTTTCTGCCCAGTATGCAGAGTGCCAAGGATTTGGAGTCCCAAGTGGAGGAACTTTCTGGCAGCATTGACCAGCTGAAGTCCAGGATTGAGATGGAGGTGATGCAAAGAAAAATAATGGGCCTTTGCCAGAACTGAGTCTTCAGCTAGTTAGAAGGACTAAGAAGTTTGATATTTCCAATCCTAATGTCTAACGAAAATGCCCCATAAAATTATATGATCATAAAATAACTGCAAATTGGAGAGTAACTTTTATTTTGTGACCTTGATGCCTGAGCGTCACAGCACAGGGCTTTTCTTTCTCAAATAATACTGTATCTAGACCTCCCTAGATGCTAAGAAGCTTCCATGGGCCTAAGGAACATGTCTTCTGTGCCTAGCCCTACAAAAAGGAGGTACGACATGTAATAAAAAAACAGCTAAATAAATGTTTGCAACCCAGAATTGTACAAATGCTTTGGTTTTGTGGCTCCTTCCCAGGTTCAGCATGACCTGAATGTGGCCATTGCAGAATTTTCTGAGCTGAAACAGCAACTGGAGAGAGACACGCTAGTTCTGACTGGGCTGAAACAGCTGCAGGAGGTGAGAGGGGGCCTCTCTTCCCCAGTTGCAATGCCAATCTATTTATTTGTTTTTTCAGACCTCATTCTGAATATAATCAACAGTGATTTTTCCTTCTTTTTATTTTAAAGTTCGAAACTGCTCTCAAACAGTTCAATGCCTTGCTGCCACAAAAGAAGTATGTGTCAGCAGCATGTCACCTGAACAAGGTAATTCCAATTGCATTGGGGACTGGTGGACTTCTGTGACTGCTGTGGACTTTTGTGTCCCTCTAAGACCGGACTTGCTTGGCTCCTGTTTGTGCAGTTTCTTACCCTTTTCTCTCTCTCCTCCTTTCTGTCAGGCCCAGAGGATTCTGAAAACGCTGGAGTCACGTCGAGGCTTTGAGCTGAAGATTCTGAAGGCGCTCCGCAGGGAGCTCACAATGCAGACCCAAAACATTATCTACCTCTTGGGTCAAGAGTGGCAGCAAATGGCTGTGTGGAAGGTTCCTCAATCAAAAGGTTTGGCGGGGGCGTTGTTTGGGGGTTGTGAATGTGTACTTTTTGGAGGGCAGAGGTGAAACAGCAGACAATTTGACTTTGGCTGATCTCTGGTGGAGGGGAGGATATCTCAGTGGTAGAGCATGTGTTCTGCATTCAGAAAGTTCCAGATTTAAGCTCTGGCATCTCCAGATTTTTAAGAAAGTGAGGTAGCAGGTGCTGGAGCCATTGCCAGTCAGAGTGAATGGTACTTAGTTGGTTGGACAAATAGTATCACTTAGTAAAAAGTTGTGTCTTAAGTTATTGTGACCCAGCCTTGTTGCAAATTGGAAAAATGTTCCTGCAAATACATATTTATATATGTGTAGGGCTTTATAAGATTAAGATGTTGGTAGTCTTTGCACAATTAAAATGTTACTACAGAGAGTATATATGGTTCCGTCGGGCTTTATTGTCCTGTATGATCACATAATAGAATCTAAAAGGGCTTATAGACAAATTTCCCCTCCAGAGTTATTGTGCTTCACTTATTGGGCTTGGTTCAATAATTGCTTTCCTGTGGACTTACTCTTGACTATACGTAGGCTACTCTTTCTCAACCACTGTTCCCTATCTGGTGGTGGCAATAGGAATATTAGTAATGTACCTTATGGCACTGTTGAAAACAACAAGCAAACAAAGAGCTATAAAGAAATTCACAAGTGCTGGAAGTTCTATATAAAAAAGTAATGGTTCCTTTTGTCCTTGGGTAGTGCAACCAAAGTAATTGAAATGCCTCGAATTTTATGGTTAGCAATTTCTATTGTAATATTATTGTCTGTGTTGACAAACTTGGAAGAGTTGGGAAATTTTGAAGAGCACTTGGAAGTGTTGGCTGTAACTTGTAGGAACTGGCATCGAATTTCAGCATGCCTGGAAAAATTTTTGGTGGTTGGTGCTGATAAGCTTCCTTTTCTTTCTGCTTGTCTGTGACTGCAGAAACAGACTTGGGGGGTGGGAAGAGTGTGGCTTGTCAAGGACCTGACAGACCATAGTGCATTTTTTGTGGGCTTTTGTTCAGTTTGGTGTTCACAAAGTGGAGAACCAGCTCAAAAATTATGGACATTCTGTGCCCCGCCCCACCTTGTGCTGAATCCTCTCAAAGCCTGCCATCCTGCCTGCCTTTTTCTGAATGCTGACAAGGAACTGTTTGGGTTTGCAGATTTGAAACAGGTCAAGCATGCTCTGCAGGTTACATCTTGAAGATTTTATGTCTCCTGGCACTCTGCACTTTACATGTTTCTGAGCTCTCTGGCAGGATTGTGGCAGAGTGTAACAGGGGAAGGAAAGCAATTTGTATTCAGGAAGGATGAGCTTTCTCTGCCTATCTAATGTTTTGTGTTTTATATGCATCCTGTTTTATAGAGAAATCTATCCCAAGAAGTTAAAGCTAGTAACATGGGAAGCTGCCTTATTACTGCTGCTGTTTATTAAGATTTACAGTTTGTTAATCAATACAAAACCATGATCACGTTTATATGGTTGATATATGGAATGCTGCTTTATACTGACTCAGATTATTTGCCCATTTAGTTTAGTACTAATGATTTGCAAGGGCAGGTCTTTTCTATTGCATTCTACCTGACCGCCTCCCCCCCCCCCCCCCCCGCTGCGCTGTCATGCATTGAACCTGAGACCTTCTATATGCAAAGCATGTGCTCTACCATGGAGCAATGGTCTCTTGCTATTTGTAAATATCCATACCAACATGGGACATGCATCTCATTGGCTGCTATTGAACACATGCAAGCAACCCTATTTGTGGAATTGCCTGTGAATTGATATTGAAGTCTGGAAAGGCAGGCCATGCAAAATCCATCCTCTGTGTTTGCTCTTTTCTTTGGCTTTGAAGCCAATGTTTTGCTGTAACGGGGGCTTGTCCTGTGTACTTCTTGCTTAGAAGCGGGCAGCCTGGAGTCAGCCATGGAGACAGAACTGCATTTGTGCAAGGTGCTGTCCAAGGAGGATGTGGTCCCTGGCCCAACAGTAGCGTCTGTGCTGCAGGCGTTTGCTATCCTGGATGAGCTGCGTTTGAAGTTCAGGCACTTCGGTAAGTGACTTTCACTGGCGACAACCAAAATTTGGCTGTAGTTAAAACCATATGTCATTTGAATTGGATCAGGTTTCCAAACTTTAGATGCCTGAAGCATAGCTGTTTTTCTGGATTAAAATCAGAGACCTGCTTCCCTCTTCCCTCACAGCAGTCTGCTCTTAATCAGCTCCTAAAACAGTGGGGAGGCATCCTTCTTCCATCTTCAGTATAGCTCAGCTAATATTTTCTTTTCTTTTGCTGCTTCTACTTTGTCTTTCAACCCCGGCTATTAATGGCTCCCTCCTTCCCTGTTCCTTGTGCCAGGACAGTTGCTGCTGAAGTACATCCTCAAGCCGCTCATCTCCCACCCGTCATTGCAGCCCTTGCCTGAGGAGCACCCTGATGCCGTCACGCTGAGATTTAGGTCTGTGGGCTCCAATCTTGGCCACCCGTCCCCCGTGGAAGTGTTTGCCAGGATCAAGCTGGTACTCGAGGTCCTTCACAAGTATCATTTAGGTACGGAGCTCCTTGCTAGCCAGAACCATGGGAGGTGGCAGTCAGAGTAGGTCAGGAGAACTTCTTGTGTGTTGCTGAAGAAGATGCCACAGAACTTGGCCAGGGAACCTGTGGCCTACCAGATGTTGTACTCCAACTCCCATCAGCCTCATCCAGCATGGCCAGTGGTCAGGACTGACAAGAGTTGTAGTTCAACAACATCTGGAGGGACAAGGGTTCACCAGCCTAGCCATTGAGGCTTCTAAAAATTATGCCACTGTTTTCCAAATGCAGAGGAAATCTGCCAAGGGGAGCTGCCCCTATTGTGCATGGTGCTGTTTTGTGCCAGGGCATTGAGGGGGCCATGATTATTCTTACATTCTGAACTCTGTATCTGTTTTCCCAGGTGTTCCACTTGAGCACTGTGCAGAGGAGGAGAACAGCTCCAATCTTGTCCTGGCAGAGGTGTTGGGTGACACAATCTGGAAGGACATTTCGGACTGTCTCATTCGTGACTGCTTGGTGCATTCGATCCCAAACAACAGCAGCAAACTGGGGCAGTATATTGAGGTGAGCGTTGCAGCAGCTGAGGGACTGTGAAGGATGGGAAAGGCCTGTGGAACAGTTCCCTAAACCCTCTTCCCTTTGCCTTCAAAGTTAGCCCTTGAATTGTAGTTGTACAGGTTTGCTTAGCGGATGAAGGCAAAAGTTCAAAATACGCATATACTAAAATAACTGGTCTTTTCCTGAGTGTCTTCCTTTTTTCTCTGTTGTTAGTAGGCCGCTATAGCGGCTGATAAATTCTAATGCGTCAGCTTCCCATGGCCTGCTACTAAACCAAATGATCCATAATTTCCTTATTTTATGGGGATTCAAAGCCTGAAAGCTGGAGACAGGCACATTCATTCCCAATACTGGGCCTTCTGTTCCACCCATAGGTAGCATTTACGGGGCTCACTGTTCCTCCTCTCTCCCCCATCCCCTGGTTTAGGTTATTAAAGCTACTGAGGAGTTTGAAAAAGCCTTAAAGGACATGCGGTTCCTAAAGGAGGATGCCACCGACTTGCTGACCTATGCGCGTAACGTCAACTGCCACTTTGCTAATAAGAAATGCCAGGATGTGATAGTGGCAGCCAGAAATCTGATGACATCGGAAATACACAACACCGTAAAGGTAGCTGAGCCAATTGAACCTCTGCTTATTTCCTCAGTGTTTGAGTATTTTTCCAGGTGGATTGCGTAATCCTGTGTGTCATTAACCATGCTTACATTTTAGTAATATGCTTTTTTTTTGCTCTTTTTTAGTTATGCCAAAGTATGTGAATCAAGCAGTGCTCTGGGATAGCTCTTTATTTTGAGCAGAGTCCAATTTTTGAAATAGGAAATGCAAGATCCCCATACAGAGTTGTGCTGCTCTTCATAGATCAGTTTAGTACTGTATTGGCCTGAATATAAGCCGCACCTGAATATAAGCCACATCTTTAACATTCAAGGGGGAAAAAGAAAAAATGACAATACCTGAATATAAGCTGCTCCCTTAAAATTCCACAGCCATTCACGCCTGTTCCGTTTTACTATATCTCTGTTCCAGCAGTGATATTGTAAAAGCCAATTTTTGTACGGTCACGAATTTTAGCTGCATTTTAACTTTTCATGGTCAGAATTTGGGGAGAAAGTGAGGCTTGTATTCAGGCCAGTATGGTATGTTTGGGGCCTGCTGGGCTGTGCGGTAAACCTAACCTGGGTTGTTTCTATGGTCTCCCTAGGCACTCTTGTAGTAAGCTTTTCCCCTCTTCCTAATTGGACTTGTATTCTGCTCTTTCTGGAAAAACGGAAGATCATTTAACTTTTAGTGGTCTTCCCTCCAGACACGTTAAAAGTCCTGCATTCCAGTCCCAGCACAAACACTTGACCTTGGGCCAGTCATACTTTTTGGCTCAGGCCTACCTCATAGGGTTGTTGAGAGATCAAACAGAGGCAGGAGAGAAAAGAACCATATGTATATCAATCTGAACTCTTTGAAGCCTGGGGTATTAATTGAATACAGTGTTAGGAGCTATTCAGTCCTCCTAATATCATTAGAATTCCTCAGAAGTAGCCATGAAAATCAGACTAGTCTAAAACAGTCTTGTTGCACCTTAACAGCTAACAATTTTATTGTGGCATAACCCTTTATAGTGCTAAAGCTGCCACACTGCTCTTTGCTTTTGCCACAAGATACTAACACTTGTCACACCTCTGGAATTTCTTAAGTTACTTCAGTTGTGCCCTAAGTTGGTGTTTTGCTTGCGCTGCAGTTCCACTCCCATCCCTCCCTTCCAGTGTACATCTTTATTTTCCCTTCCTAGGTTACCCCAGACTCCTCTGTAATTCTGCCCAAAATGCCTGACCCCGGAGCAGGTGATCAGTTAAAGGTGCAAAAAGTATCTGAGGCTCTTGACAAGCAGGCGACAAATTTGGAGAATGAGAAAAGGCTGAGCCGCCACACCTTTTCGTTTCCTGCCTGCCGCATCAGTGAATCTGTACAGAAGTTGATGGTGTTGGCTTATCAGACGCTCCAAGAAGCCTCAGCCAGCACAGATCAGTGGTGAGGACTCTGAGTGAATTGTTTGGGGGGTGTTGAGTGGGTATGAATGTAGGCCTGCCATGCAGCCAACCAATTCTTAAGTCCTCCAAGCATTTTGTGCTGTTGCTGTGATGCTTTTAGCCACACAACCCAGATAATATTTCTGCTTTTCCTTTCTTCTCCCTGCCCCCCCCATTCCCAGCTGCATCCAGCTCTTCTACTCCGTGCGGAACATCTTTCATCTGTTCTATGATGTGGTGCCGATGTATCACAAGTGAGTGACATGAAAAACCTCGCCAGGGAGGTGAAAAATCTTTGTTTCTTCAGTCCCCCTTTCCTCCTTTTGTTCTCTCTTAAAAAAAAACACACAACTTTATGAAGATTAGACTTAATGTCTTTGGACAGTGATCCTTTGGAAATTTCAGAAATGTTTGAGCAACAGCAGCTTTACATTCCATGCAGGTGCCGGAGAACAGCTTCCCTTTACCCATGCAGTCTGAAGTAAGATGCAACAGCAGGCTTCTGCACTGGCAGCTAACATATCTCATTGCTATGCCAACTCCAAATGGGCACTGCATGATCCCAAAGGGACTGCCTTCCCTCTGCCTTCACCTCTCGCCCTTCCTCCATTAGGGGTTTTCTACCCCAAGGATGGGAGACATGTAGTCCTTCATAAAGTGTTGGGCTCCGACACCCATCATCCTCAGCTAGCAGGGCCAATGATCAGAAATGTTGGGAGTTGGTCCCCAAAAGCATCTGAGGGGACGGCATATCTGTTCTAAGCATATAGACAGAACGACATTCCTGCTCTGGGAAACCTAGTGGCTTTATTTTCTTTAGATGGTTGCAGAGGAAAATGATCAAAAACTGTCTCATGACCATCTGGGAATATCTGCTCTCCCCCTTCTTTTCTCCTCCCTAGAGAAAACCTTCAGAAACTTCCCCAGCTGGCTGCTATACATCACAACAACTGCATGTACATTGCACACCACCTTCTGACCCTGGGCCACCAATTCCGGGGCCACCTAATGGATGGAATAGCCACATTTGTTGACCTGGTGCCTGGTTTCAGGAAACTTGGTGAGCCTGGAGGAAACTTACTTGTTCATGCTTATGGATATTTACACCCTGCTTTCCAACCTAGCTGGATTCTCAAAGCAGCATACCTTTCAAATGCAAACAGAGATTCATTTATAACAGGGATATGTGGTTTGGTGTGTATGGCATTGTGGTACACTCCAGGTTCTTCTTCTTGTTGTACCAACCTGATGCTCTCCAGACATTTGGACTCCAGCTCCCATCAAACCCAGCCAGCATGGACAATGTTTAAGGAAGATGGGAGTTGTAGTCCAACAGCATCTGGAGGACGCATGGTGGGGGAAGATCATTCTAGCAGGAAAGGGGTGGGGGATGGAACCACAGGTGACCCTGAAAACTAGTAACTTTGCCAACCCACAGAAGCAATCCCTCTGCCCGATCTTCTTTTGTATTGTATTTCTCTGGGAATCCTCACAAGTGCAGAGGAACATTCCCCTGAGGCCCCTTGAAAATTCTCCTGGTGTATTTTGCAGGGACCTGCTGCTTATGAAGAGATAGATCTTTGGGTAGGTCAGAAACTTGCCTGGTGGTGTTATGGTTCCTGGAACTCGAGGCCAGAGTTGAGACTTCTCCCTCTTCCCCACAGGGACGGAGTGTTTCCTGGCCCAGATGCGAGTGCAGAAGGAGGAACTCCTGGAGAGACTCTCAAGCGCCAGGGATCTCTCCAGTGTGGATGATGACGACAACTATTCAGCGGCAAACAAAGCTGTGCGGCAGGTGAGTGGAGGTGAAGCTTTTGAGGGATCGGCTGCAGGCTTTTACAGCGCCCGTCATTTGGAATCTGCACATTACACTGACACTGAAAGGCAGGTACTGTTCTGTACAATGAAGGAAGATCAGGAGAGCCCTACTGGGGCTGTTTAGTCTATACTCCTGTTTCCAACCCTGGCCATGTAGATTCCACCAGGAAACTTCTAAGCAAGGCATGAGAGCAACAGCCTTCCCCTGTTGTCATTTCTCCCCATACTCCCCCTCAGCAACTGGCATTGAGTGGTATACTATTTCTGAACCTGGAGGTTCTACTTAATCATCAAAGCTCCCCTTTTCACAGCCATCTCTGCTGCTAAACATCAACACATCTTGCCGCAGAGACACCCATAAATTGGCTATGAACTGTGTGAAGAAACAATTTCTGAAACTTTCTGAATTTGCTGCCTGTCACTTTTCCTGGAATGACTCCAAATTCTAGTACCTTTGTAGTTGAATGGCTTGGCTCCCAAACGCCGCAAACCTGGAAGTGAGTGTTTCGGTTTGCAAACATTTTTTGGAAGCCAAACGTCCGATGTGGCTTCTGCGGCTTCCGATTGAGTGCAGGAAGCTCCTGCAGGCGATCGGAAGCCACGCATTGGTTTTCGAATGGTTTCGGGAGTCGAATGGACTCCGGGATTAAGTTCGAGAACCAAGAATCCCTTTTCTAAGCTGCATCCTGCCACTGCCTGTTCCTCCCCACCCCTACCAGTCACATTGTGAGTCGTCTTGGGTTTGTATGTATTAAGAAGGTGCAGTTTCTTTCAAGGTCTTGCACCAGCTGAAGAGGCTTGGCATGGTCTGGCAGGACGTTCTTCCAGTGAATATCTACTGCAAGGCCATGGGGACTCTGCTTAACACCGCTCTCACTGAGATCATCAGCAGAATTGCTGCCTTGGAGGTGAGAACCGTGTGGGCCACAGGTGGTTTCTCATTGTAGTTGAGGTTCACTCCTCCCCGCAAACACAGTTGCTTCTCTTAGTGTGAGCAGCCTTTCTTCTGCGGATCTGGTTCACGTTTTAGAAAGTTAGAGCCAATTCTTACAATGATGGAAAAGCCTCCCCTAGCAGCTTCTCAGGCTCTGCAAGCCTGACATTTCCAGAGCATGGAATCACTCCACTAAACAAAAAACAAAAAAAACAAAACACAATGGCAATTTCATCTCTGTCAGGATCTACATCTTTAAGTTTAATAAAGGCTGCTTTTGAACTTGTGAATATGCTGCTTGCATGGGAATTGGCTTCTTTTAAAAGAGAGAGAGAAGTCAAGTGTTACACACTTCCTATGCAGGAGATTATTTTGAATGTCCTGATGGGCACGTATTTTCCGTCTTGGTTGAGAAGACCTCATCTTGGACTGTTACTTCAAGGGAAATATTTGGGCTCTCCGGGGGGGGGGGGGGGACACACACTATTCTCAACATAAGGTGGCAGCAGAAGTTAAAACTATAAGAATAAGTCTGTTTGTCCACATCAAGCGTTGATGTCTTCTGAGACGAGCAAAATTTATGCAGTTTCTGCATCTCTTGTAAAAGTGATCTAAGTGTGCTACTTGAAACACTTTTCTTGCTAATCTGATGATAGACTGATGAAGAAAGCCTTGTGGGTTTCTGGAAAGTGGGCTGGGATGTGCAAATGTTCAGATAAATCTCATGCCAATTTCTTTTTAACATTTGATTTTATTGGTTTTTTAAATGAATATTTTATATTTTATGCAAACTCTAGAGTTTTTTTTCCCTCAATTAAGTGGTATATAAATCACGTAACAAAAAAAGAAGAAGTATATTCTTTCTGATTCATTTAGAGGGAAATGAATTGCATCACATTCATTTAGAGGGAAATGAATTGCATCACTGGGTGGTGTTTGACACCACCCAGTCTCCCTGTCCCATTTGCTCTTGCTCTCTGCCGTATTGCAGGATATCTCTGCTGAGAATGCAGACAGGTTGCACATGCTTTGTCAAACGATGGTGGACGAGGGGCCCCTGGTGTTCATGCCCCTGCCAGAAGAAAAACAGAACAGACCCTTCCAGGAGGAGGTCCCCGTCTACGTGCTGAAATGGATGACGTTCAAGGAGCTCATGTTGGTGCTACAGGCCAGCCTGCAAGTAATTGTGGACCGGTGGGTGTTCCATACAGTCTGCTCTGCATCCTCCCTATTCCTGTTAGCCCTCCCAGACCAGTAAGGATTGTCTGGGAGAAGTTGAAAACACCAGACAGTGGCATGATATAGCCTGGCTTGGATTCTTGTTCTGTGCCTGCCCCACTCGAGGTGGTTTTCACCAGAGAAACCCACATTTTGACTATTGTAGCAGTACACATTTTTGGTTGTTCTGCCTCTGAAGATGGTTCAGAAACTTCAGCTAGTGCAGAATTCAGTGGTCATGTTGCTCACTGGAGCACGACGATTTGAGCATATTACACCAATCCTGGTCCAACTGCACTGGCTACCAATTAGTTTCCGGGCCCAATGCAAAGTGCTGGTTTTGACCTATAACGGCTCAGGAACGCACTACCTCAAGGAATGCCTTTTTCCATATGAGCCTACCCGGTCCCTGAGATCATCTTCTGAGGCCCTTCTTTGTGTGCCCCCTCCTCGAGAGGTCTGGAAGGTGGCAACACGAGAACAGGCCTTCTCTGCATTGGCTCCCCTTCTATAGAATGCTCTCCCCAGGGAAGTTTGCCTGGCACCTTCATTATACACCTTTAGGTGCCAGGCAAAAATGTTCCTTTTTAACCAGGCCTTTGGTTGATTTTACAGTGGTACCTTGGGTTAAGAACTTAATTCATTCTGGAGGTCCTTTCTTAACCTGAAACTGTTCTTAACCTGAAGCACCACTTTAGCTAATGGGGCCTCCTGCTGCTACCACGCCGCCGGAGCACGATTTCTGTTCTCATCCTGAAGCAAAGTTCTTAACCCGAGGTAATATTTCTGGGTTAGCGGAGCCTGTAACCTGAAACCTATGTAACCGAGGTACAACTGTATTGACATCCAACACCCTTTAGAATGTGGTTTTTTGGGGGAGTGGGTATTGGGTTACTGGTTTTGGTTTGATTTTATATGTTGTTGAATTGTTGTGAACCACCCTGAGACCTCCAGGTATAGGGCGTGTATAAATTTAATAATGATAATAATAATAATAATAATAATAATAATAATAATAATAATAATAATTTAATCTTCCAAGATCCAGGTGTGTTTCTTTAAAGAATGTGACATCTTTGCTTAAAAAGATGCTGGAGAAGGAAGGAAAGGGCAGGAATTGAAGTGGGATGGATCAGGGTCCTGTAGCAATGTGCAAAGAACAGGCATTGGGAGAAGGACCCCAAAGCCCAACCCACTGACCACAGAAAGCCATGGGCAGAGAGGTTTACAGAAAGGCCTCCCTCCCTCTCCCTGCCCTTCTCCGTCCCTCAGCTGTTTAAATAACCACTCTTGCTCTTTCCATTTCTTTTGTCTTTGACTCTCCCAGGTGGGCAGATGGCAAAGGGCCCCTTGCAGCTGCATTCTCCGCAGGCGAGGTGAAGAACCTAATCAGAGCCTTGTTCCAGAACACAGAGCGTAGGGCAGCTGCCCTGGCAAGGATCAAGTAGCTTCAGTGCCTCTGCTGTTCCTAAAATGTTGTCTTCCTGGACACGCTGCAGTTGGCAGAGCCGGTGTCTTCTCACCCCCCACCTGCACACACACACACACATCCACTTTGACCATGTCTCTTGAAAATGACTTCCTGGCTTTTGTGAGCAGGACCTTCCTGCAGACCAGGTTGAGTTTCTCAGAGGAGCATCACCTGAGGCATTCAAGCCAGCACAGCGATTGTGTTGCCTTCCCAGGCCTTCGAAGATGATCGCCTGACATGACCTGGCACCTGTGGTCCAGAGGGAATCCTGGCTTGTCGGATGTTAACTCCTGACGTGCACACCTGCAGGTCTTGCCACCCTTTCCCTCTGCTTTGGGTGTTTGGTAAAACCAGTTTGGGTCCGGTGGAACTCATGGCAAACGCGCCCCTGCAGTACATCTGACTGGGAGATGTGGGGCTCTCAATGGCCCGGGGTAATCTGATTCCTTGTGGCAGAGCATCTATGCAGCTTTTTTTGTTTTTTGAGGGGGGTGGTACCTCCCCTTTGTGCATCTTACCTCATCTGTTTTGCAAATGGCTTATGAAGCACACAAGACTTGAAAAATCTCTCTGTGCCCTTTGAAGGGCCTTAAAGTGCCAAAACGTCGTAATTTTACCAGCTGCTGCCTTTAGCATACCGCATGCAGCACGCCTCAGAAGTTGTCTTTTTACCCCGAGTCCTCTTCTTTTGTTCTTCCCATATAGGATCTACGGGTGGGAAAGGCCGGCCATGCTGCCAGTCGCACCCTCCTGCCTTGGAGGTACACCACATGCATCCTGTGGCATCTACAGCATGGAAGCCTGTGTTTGTTCAGGGAACTATGCACAAACAGCAGAGTATGGACTAGTGCCGCTGCTACAGATGTTCAGGGGGCAAGCCAGTGGTATGTTTGATATTGAGGGTGGGGCCAGAGGCTTAGTCCTGCTGTTCCTTGCTGACGTTCATGGAGAACAACAGAAGAGGCCTACTTGTCTCTTTGACAACTGCAGTATTCTTTCCTTGACCTAATAATAGTTTCCTTGACCTACATAGTTAATCAAAACTGGCTGCTCATAAGCTTTCTCCTCTTTCGCTTATCAGGTTAGGCAGATGTTCTCTCCCACATACCCCACCTCCATCTACAGAATTTGAGATTGAGCATTTGTTAATATGGAAACCTCGGTCTTCTGGTTATTTGGGGGAGAAGTGGGGCTTTTGGTTGAACACTCCCTTTTTCTTGTGCCCCCCCCAAAGCATTTAAACCTCCATTCACAGAAGCTGTCACTGTCTTGTCTAGCTTTCATTAAGAAGATAAAATCCAAGGCTGAGGAAAAAAATGTTACTGGATTAATTACTTACAAATTATTTTGTATTCTCATACTTATTTCTTTTTGGGAGCCATTAAATAGGCATATAAAAAACTAGCCTCAATGTCATTGTCTCCTTTACTGTGAAATATGGCCAGTACCATATGGTCATTTTGGTTGCCCCTTTCCAGTTTTTTGAGATGGGGTGATATGAACTGCACGATATTCCCAGTTTGTTCACACAATAGATTCATATAATGACATCATTAGATTTTTTGCAGTCCATTCCCTATTGATCTCTAGAACAGAATTAACTTTTTTTTTTGCAGATGCTGCACCCTGGGCTGACATTTTCCTTGAGCAATCCGTCACAGCCCCTAAGATTCCTTTCCAAGTCATTCATTGCCAGCTCCGAGGCCACCTGTGTATATGTGAAGTTGTGATTTTACTGTATTGCCTCAATGTGCATCTCTTTACACTCACTTGGAACCACATTTGCCCATTCATCCAGTGGCTGTCTGATGGTGTGCTCGTTGCGCCCTCTTTCAGCTAAAAGCTAATGATATTAGCACAGGTGAGGGCTTAGGAAAGTGTTGGGTTTTTTTGGCAAGGCAGATATGTGCTTGTTCACCCAGCAGAATGTGCTATTGAGCAATTGCGTAAGATTTCATCCTTGGAACAGAACGTTCTACAACGACAGGTTCTCAGCCCCATGTGCTCAGAAGTGGGAATGTTGAAGGGGCAGGAGAAACTTCCTGGTTTGAGTTCTGGATTCTGTGCCTGTTGCAAGGTGGGACAATGGACTCTGGATGTGGGGTATGCAGAGGCTCTTCTGTGCTCACCCACTGGCGACTAGTAGCTCTGGAAGGCAAAGGGACAGCTTTTGAGCCATTGCTTAACTGAACCCTGAATTTCTAAAATGAAAGCTGCTGGGTTTGTGTCTGTCTAGTAGGCTAATCCTATGTCTTTCAAGTCATTGTCCCCAGCGATAGTGGCTCAACACATTTTGGGGAAAGGGCAAGATGGCATCCCTCCTTTTCAGTGTACTGAAGCCAACTGGACTGGCAGTTGCCTCTTCAGTGATAGGAGAAAGTCCTCCACCTACTCAGTTGTCTAGCTTAGGGAGTAACAGGGCAGGCTGACTTCTGAAGACGAAGAAGAGTTTGGATTTGATATCCTGCTTTATCACTACCCTGAGGAGTCTCAAAGCGGCTAACAATCTCCTTTCCCTTCCTCCCCCACAACAAACACTTTGTGAGGCTGAGAGACTTCAGAGAAGTGTGACAAGCCCAAGGCACCCAGCAGCTGCATGTGGAGGAGCTGGGAAGTGAACCTAGTTCACCAGATTATGAGTCTACTGCTCTTAACCACTACACCACACTGGCTTCCTGCCCTGCAGCACACCCAAGGCAGTTGCTTCCTTCTGCCTAATGGTTGGGCTGCTCCTAAAGCTGGGTGCAGGGTTGGCTGGGGCAAAGCAGGAAGAGAAAACATTCTGAAAGGCTCTTGGTTATTAAGAGTTCTGTGCTGGTTCTGCCTTGGGAAAACCTGGCACCAGCACGGCTCTTGGAGGGCATTTTTTCATGAAGTAGAAATAGTAGCATCTTACTTTTATGGGGAGGGAAGGGGTAAGGGGCCTTCCCTTTTTGCTTTTCTCCCCTTTTTTGCATTTTATTAAATTATTAATCATACATAAATAATCATAAAAATGTGCACCCCACTACCGAGACGATTCCATTACAGTGGTACCTCCGGATGTGAATGGGATCTGTTCCGGAACACCATTCGCATCCTGAATCGAACGCAACCCTGTGTGTGTCGCGATTTGCTGCTTCCGCGCATGCATGTGACGTCATTTTGACCGCCTGCACATGAGCAAGCAGCGAAACCCAGAAGTAATGCGTTCCGTTACTTCTGGGTCACCACGGAGCGCAACCTGAAAGCGCTCAACCTGAATCGTATTCAACCCGAGGTATGACTGTAATCATAAAAATGTGCTCCCCATTACCGAGACGATTCCATTATAACTCTCCAACCTCCCAAAATATTGACACCTCTTTCACTGGTTTAACCCTTTCCGTTTTAACAATACAAATTCTACAAACACCCTGCATATCTCTTCAAAACCATTTACCCTACATATTCCTAGTCTTACCTTAGTGCAGGGGTCAGCAAGCTTTATCTTGCCTGGGCCGGATTGGTCCCGTAGAGATCCCTCCATGAGCTGGATTTCCAGTGTCTGCGCATGGGCAGATGCAATTTCCAGCACCGCAGAAGTGAGTCCCTGTGCCCTGCTGCGCTGGTTTAGCGCAGCACGTGAGCAGGCAGCTCTGTTCAGGGGCGGCTCGTGAGCTGGTCAAACGACCTCCACAGGCCGCTTCCAGCCCATGGGCCTTAGGTTGGTGACCCCTGCCTTAGTGGCACACTCTATCATTAATGGCTATATCCCAAACCTCTTTGCACCATTCTTCCATTTTAGATTCTGCTTGCCCCATGCACTTTCTAGCAATCGTAATTCGTGCGACTGTCAGTAAATTTGTGAGCAAGTCCTTCATAGCCTGTGAACCTTCCACCCCATCATAAATTGATAATAGTGCTACCTCTGGACTTTTGGTCAGCTTTAACCCTGTGATTTCTGCTATCTCCTTAAACACCCTTTGCTGGGGGGAAAATGTACATATTTACACCCCCACCACATGTGAACATAATTCCTTGTTTCATGTCCTCACACCCCTTTTGTCCCAGAAGTGGAAGAACTTGTGTGAGTCTCTCCTGCACTGTTAAAGGGCTCTGTAAACATAAGACCCCTGCAGCTGGAGCAGACCAAAGACGTCCTAGTCCAGCATTCTCTTTCCTACAGCATCCCTGTGGATTACGTGGTCCTCAGGATGCTCCAAATGTGTGTTCTCACATTGTGAATATTTGGGTAGGTGGCAGGAACATCATCGCAGCCAAGTATTCCACTGCAATGATGGTTGCATGAACTGGCTCCAGCTCTCCCAGCCTCGCCCCCCACTCACTTCCATGACATGATGGATCCAGTCCAGGAACTCTGCCACCTCTGTATAAACACCAGGTTGTTCAGGCTCCTTGCACCCGGTCCTCTGGCTCCCAATCCCCACCAGACGCCAGACGTGCTCAAGCAGACAAACCAGAGGTCCTCCCCACTTGGCCTGCAAAAAGCAAGGAGGTGGTCTCTGATATTTGTAGATGTCCTGGTCTCTCAATCCAGAGGGAAATAGGATTTTATTTTATTTTTACCTGGCCCTCTCCTGTAACCTAGTCACTCTGCTTTTTACCAAGCTATTCTTAATTCAGGGAGGAGACTTATTTCCACCACGTTTGCTTGTTTAGAACATCTACAGCGTCCCTTCCCATGACAGTGTTCTCTGGGTGGCTTATGAACAATAAAACATTAAAATCCAGTAATAGCCAGGGGTAGAGGAACAGTTAACAAATTCTAGCATTAAAAAGGCAGAAGAAGAGAAGACATAAAGGAAACCACCAGAAGAGAGAGCTGCTTTATCATGTTTAAACAGAAAGGGAAAGAATTTACCAGCCATGGAATAGAGACTGATTGATAAACATTTGCTTTTTTTCTTGGGAAATATCCATTTTGTACAGGAAAGCAACTTAGACAAGGTTCTATAGACCTCATTGGCTAAAACTGAGGCACTGTCAGCTCTGTTCCATTTTCTCTCTCTGCGAATATGTGTATGCAATTTCAAAAATGAAGTCTCTGAGCCCTTTGACTTGAGCTGATGTAAGGAAAAGTAACGCAGGAAATACTGTATTCTGTAAAAACCTGCTCCTTCCTGAATGCAAAGGCAATTTGGAAAGCTATCAGAACACGGTTCTGATTTTATTTTTTAACAAAACTAATTTTTGTCAAATGATTATTTCACTAATATGTAATACAGTTTGAAAACAAGTATTTTAAACTACTTTTCCTTGGATTCTGGCCATTCTGTAGGGATTCCCTCACCCTTTAGGGACTCCTCACCAGAGAAGGATTTAGGCAGCGCAGACGATTCTGCTGCAATGGGTGCTGAGCCTAGGGGGTGCTGCAACTTTGACATTGTGAACTGAGCAGAATGGAAGGCAAGAGGTGGTGGGAGTGCCAAATTTTGGTTTTGCGCAGTGCGCTGCTGAAATTTGCAAGACCAAAGTCCGCATTTGCTCTCACCCCGGTATTTCTGACCCCACGTGTCCCCTATCCCACTGCAACGCCACACACTTCCCAGCTATTACCTTGCAGGCCTCAGTGTTTCCATCCAAGTAATGGGCACAGAGCATTCTAGGGCTGAGCTCCCCTGCCATCCTACATGAGCTGTTGCACTTCTGGGTGCTGAGCAGGGTCACTGGCACTTCCGTCAGTGTCTCAGCAGGGTCACCTGTGGCTGCAAAACAAGCAGCAACATCCTGTTCCTTGCAACAATGGTGTCTCTATACACATAAACATTTTTAAAATAAAATCTCCCTAGGTTTGTCACTTACCATTTTCTAATCTTGTGGTGTCCTGAGCCGAAATCCAGCATGTGCTTCCGCTAGGGATGTCTTGATGGTACTGGGGCAAACACACAGCTCCAACAGTATCTTGGAAGGAAGGATATATCTTATAGCCATTGAGCTGATGGTGTAGGACAGGGGTCCCCAACCTGCGGCCCATGGAGGCCTTTTAACTGGCCCACGAGCTGCCCCCAAACCGAGCTGCTTGCTCGGCGAGTCCCTGCATGCTGCGCTGAGCCGGCGCAGTGCGGCGTGGGGACTCTCTTCCGCAGCTCCAGAATTTGCTTCTGCACATGCCCAGATGCCGGAAATCGCTTTTGCGCAGGCACAATTTTTGGCGTCTGGGCATGCGCAGAGCGATTCCTGGCACTGGATGTGCACAGATACGATTTCCAGCATCTCGCTGCACCGGTCCAGCCCACAGAGGATCTCCGCGGGAGTGATCTGGCCCATGCCCCGTAAGCCTTGCCGAGCCCTGGCGTAAGAGTTCCAGTTCCCACCTTTAGCCTTTGTGCCAAGACCAAAGTTTATGACGTGAGAGTCCTTCTCAAAGTGGGATGGGAGGTGGCTGTGTGTCTGCTTTGCAGTGGCCATTCCTTTCTTTAAAAGTCTGGTTTAAACATTAAGCACGATACGAAGTTGCCCATCCACAGTTAGCAAAACCTGGACAACAGACTGAGGAAGCACACCATGGTGCAATTAATTGCATTTCCATTTGAATTATAGCAATTATTTATAAATGTGCACTTACATGTACAGTGGTACCTCACAGGACGAATGCCTCGCAAGACAAAAAACTCGCTAGACGAAAGGGTTTTTTGTTTTTTGAGCAAGACGATTTTCCCTATGGGCTTGCTTCGCAAGACGGAAACGTCTTGCAAGTTTGTTTCCTTTTTCTTAACACCGTTAATACAGTTGCGACTTGACTTCGAGGAGCAACTCATAGAACGCAGTGTGGTAGCCTTTTTTGAGGTTTTTAAAGACTTTGGTGATTTTTGAAGGTTTTCCAAAACTTTCCCGACACCGTGCTTCGCAAGACGAAAAAAATTGCAAGACGACAAAACTCGCGGAACGAATTAATTTCGTCTTGCGAGGCACCACTGTATAAAGCTCCCTTTGCAAATCTGGATCCTTTGTTATGGGTAAATGGCCCAACGTCACCGGCTGCTGGCACGGCTCACCTGAGAAACGCAGAGGCTCCTTCAGTTTCAACATTGCAATGTCATAGTCGGGGCTCCTGCTGCTGTAGTTGGGGTGGGGAACCGCCTTCTCCACTGCCGCTTCCACCTGCTCTTTGACACTGGTGTGGTCTTCAAGCCCAGCAAAGGCCACCCAGCCGGAAAGCCTGGAATGAAACAAAAATCCTGAGCATGCTTGGCCTTCCAGTTCTGCCTCACTGGGCTTTTTCACTTCCAGCTCCAGAGGATGAATGTGCCAGATATTCAGAAGGGTTTCAAGACCAAATAACGACGACAACAACAACAACAATAATAATTTATTTATACCCTACCTATCTGGCTATGTTAAAAATGTGATAAAACATCAAATATAAAAAACTTCCCTAAACAGGGCTGCCTTCAGCTGTCTTCTAAAAGTCAGTTGTTTATTTCCTTGACGTCTGATGGGAGGGCATTCCACAGGGTGGGTGCCACTACCGAGAAGGCCCTCTGCCTGGTTCCATGTAACCTTGTAGTGAGGGAACCGCCAGGAGGCCCTTGGAGCTGGACCTCAGTGTCTGGGTTGAACGATGGGGATGGAGATGCTCCTTCAGATATATTGGGCCGAGGCCATTTTAGGGTTTTAAAGGTGCTCGGAAATGTACTGGGAGCCAATGTAGGTCTTTCAGGACCAGTGTTATATGGTCTCAGTCACCAGTCTAGCTGCCATATTCTGGATTAGTTGTAGTTTCCAGGTCACCTTCAAAGGTAGCCCCACGTAGAGCGCATTGCAGTAGTCCTGTCTCATTTTGCATGGAAAAACCCAACATGTTTGGAAACAGTGGGGAGAGGAGAGAAAACTTGTTTGCATACCCTGCCTCCTATTTACTAAGACCTTGCCTGAAGAGTTCATTACAATTCTATGATTCGATGAAAAACCTTTGGCCAGATCTGCACCTTCTTTCTTGCTGTTGGAGTCAGATTCTCCCATGCTTACTTGTGCATGCAGTGAGCAGCTGTGACAATCCACTCCTCCGACACCATAGAGCCTGCACAGAAATGGTTGGCCTCGTGATAAAGGGTGACCTGCCATGGCCAGTGCCCCGGAGATGGGTCCTTTCTCTCCATTGTCTGTGGAGCCTTGGAGCCACACTCTGTGGGGAAGATGAAAGGTGGGGGGCTTACTCCTCATATTAGCTCTCAAGGAATCTGGGAGATAAGCAACCTTTGCTTGGAAGAGTGTTGAGGTGTTCCTAGGCTGAAGGGCCACAGCCCAGCATCCTTTAAGAATGTGAAGGTTCCTGAGGCACACCTCAGTTTTGTGCAGATTGGACCTCAGTCACAGCAAAGGATGGGAATAAAGCATGTGCATTTAATGCAGATAAAGGCTCTCAACGTGTAAACGGCTGCACACATTTCATTTTTCACCCAGAGTCTGCATTGCCTTAGATCAGGCATAAGCAACCTTTGGCCCTCCAGATGTTTTGGACTACAATTCCCATCATCCCTGACCACTGGTCCTGTTAGCTAGGGATCATGGGAGTTGTAGGCCAAAACATCTGGAGGGCCAGAAGTTGCCTATGCCTGCCTTAGATGTTTGTTTGTCTGTTTATGAAAGATGGCTGGATGTGAACAACATCGGATTTGGCTATTGGTGGAAAGGTGCTTTTTTCAGGGCAATGTATGATGGTTTCTGAAGTACCATAAGGTGAGTTTGGGTTACTTACCAGAACATTTGAGGGCCACAATCCGACCCGAAGGGCATCTACTCCTGAATAAAACAAATCGGTGGTTAAACAGACCCGTTATGCACAGCCACAACAATTTCTGGACACAACAGTCTGAGGAAATTGGTAAGCTGATAGAATCCTCTTGACTGATCAAATTTCTGTGGCATTTTCCAGACAAATATATCCTAAAGCAATTACAAAGAGCCAATAATAGGCTGGCATCTGCCTGCCTCAGGAGCATAGGGGCCAAGGTCCCTTTGCCCCCCCCATAAAATATTTGTGGGGGGCCTCCCTCCCCCAAGTTGATGGACGGTGCCATTCAAATGGTGTGTGCGCACCATGTTTTGTGATCGGTTATGCAGGGAGGGGCTTATCTGCCCCCCAATATTTTATTCATCCTGCTCAGGAGATATTACTGCAGCAAAAATATTTAACAAGTGGTTGCACGGGTGTGTGAATTAAAATGTACAGTACCCAGGGGAAGGGAGTCACGGGATTCAGAGAATCCCTATTTTTGGATTTGAAATTGTTTTGGCATACAATTGTGTGCATTTGTTACTATTGTTTCTGTTATGATGATTTTTACTTTTGAAGAATATATATATATATATATATATATATATATATGCAGGTTTTGGTGTCCTCGGGTGTCTTCCCGTGTAAAAGTTGGGGTGTCTAGGCGACGTTTCGACGAGGTCTCACTCGTCATCTTCAGGCTGGTGCTTTCGGCTTCTTGTTACTGGAACAGAGCAGGATCTCAGTGTTTGAGTTCCTATAAATACTGTTGAGGAGGTGTGGTGTATAGCCTCCAATGTTCTGGGCAGAGAGGAAGTTCCCAGGCTAGTGTGCCTTTTCTTCTTTTGTTCCTTAATTACTTGAGGGATATCTTGAGTGATTTCTTGAGTGATATCCTGAGTACCACTTAGGTGGGTCATTAGGTGTGGATTAGTTGCTAAAGCCTTCGTGTCTTGACCTCTTGAACTTTGTGAAGAGTTTTTCTGAGAAGATGGCTGTACTGCACTTAGTTGTGCTCTGGCTTGGCTTCGTGTATAGGGGCGAGCTGTGGTTTTGTGGCCTGTGCCAGCCAGATCTGTGTAGGGATTGCAGGGGGGTGCAGCATCCGGAGGTGCCACCATGGTTTGGCTACTGGATGGTGTCTGTAATTTATCTGTGGAGAGGGTCTGGGTTTGGGTCTGGTGTGGTTGATTGGTGATGGCGTTCTGTGTGCCTCTGGATCTGGTGTCGGTTTTTGTGGGGAGGGCTAATTTCCAGATGTCTGGCAGGCGGGATGTGTCGTCACGCTTGTTCATGTTGTGAGGGTGTTTCTCTATCTCGATGGCTTCCATGATTATTCTCTTGTGGTGATGTTCCATGTTAAAGAGCAATTTGGAATCTGCAAAATTAATTTCGTGTCCTGTTTCTTTCATGTGTTGGAAAAGAGAGGAAGTTTTTTTCTTCTTTTTTGACGGCATTCTTGTGTTCTGCGATACGTGCATTTATTCGTCTGTTTGTTTGTCCAATGTACGTGGCTGGGCAGACTTTGCAGGGTATTTCATAGACCCCTTGGTTTTCCAACTGGATTTTATCCTTGGGGTTTCTGAGGATATTGGCTATTTTTTGGTTGGTGCAAAAGGCTGTTTTGATATTGTGTTTATGGAGGATTTTGCTAATTTTATCTGTAGTGCCCTTGATATAAGGAAGGAGGGCCATGCCATTGTTTTCTTCTGTGTCTTGGTTTTTGGGGGGTGTTTCTTTTTGGATTAGCTTCGTAACCCTGTTTTGCTGGTATCCATTGGCGATTAACACATTTGAGAGATTCTGTAACTCAGTTGTCAAGTGGTCTTTGTCAGCCAGGCGTTTGGTTCTGGAGATGAGAGTCTTGGCTACGGAGTTTATTTGTGCAGGGTGGTGGTGTGATTGTGCATGTAAGTAGCGGTTGGTGTGTGTTTTTTTCCGGTAGACACACCAACCGCTACTTACATGCACAATCACACCACCACCCTGCACAAATAAACTCCGTAGCCAAGACTCTCATCTCCAGAACCAAACGCCTGGCTGACAAAGACCACTTGACAACTGAGTTACAGAATCTCTCAAATGTGTTAATCGCCAATGGATACCAGCAAAACAGGGTTACGAAGCTAATCCAAAAAGAAACACCCCCCAAAAACCAAGACACAGAAGAAAACAATGGCATGGCCCTCCTTCCTTATATCAAGGGCACTACAGATAAAATTAGCAAAATCCTCCATAAACACAATATCAAAACAGCCTTTTGCACCAACCAAAAAATAGCCAATATCCTCAGAAACCCCAAGGATAAAATCCAGTTGGAAAACCAAGGGGTCTATGAAATACCCTGCAAAGTCTGCCCAGCCACGTACATTGGACAAACAAACAGACGAATAAATGCACGTATCGCAGAACACAAGAATGCCGTCAAAAAAGAAGAAAAAACTTCCTCTCTTTTCCAACACATGAAAGAAACAGGACACGAAATTAATTTTGCAGATTCCAAATTGCTCTTTAACATGGAACATCACCACAAGAGAATAATCATGGAAGCCATCGAGATAGAGAAACACCCTCACAACATGAACAAGCGTGACGACACATCCCGCCTGCCAGACATCTGGAAATTAGCCCTCCCCACAAAAACCGACACCAGATCCAGAGGCACACAGAACGCCATCACCAATCAACCACACCAGACCCAAACCCAGACCCTCTCCACAGATAAATTACAGACACCATCCAGTAGCCAAACCATGGTGGCACCTCCGGATGCTGCACCCCCCTGCAATCCCTACACAGATCTGGCTGGCACAGGACACAAAACCACAGCTCGCCCCTATACACGAAGCCAAGCCAGAGCACAACTAAGTGCAGTACAGCCATCTTCTCAGAAAAACTCTTCACAAAGTTCAAGAGGTCAAGACACGAAGGCTTTAGCAACTAATCCACACCTAATGACCCACCTAAGTGGTACTCAGAATATCACTCAAGAAATCACTCAAGATATCCCTCAAGTAATTAAGGAACAAAAGAAGAAAAGGCACACTAGCCTGGGAACTTCCTCTCTGCCCAGAACATTGGAGGCTATACACCACACCCCCTCAACAGTATTTATAGGAACTCAAACACTGAGATCCTGCTCTGTTCCAGTAACAAGAAGCCGAAAGCACCAGCCTGAAGATGACGAGTGAGACCTCGTCGAAACGTCGCCTAGACACCCCAACTTTTACACGGGAAGACACCCGAGGACACCAAAACCTGCATATATATATATATATATATATATATATATATATATAGGATGCCACCCAAAAAGTCTGAAATCATGTTTTGACATTAAACAAAAGAAAAGAAAAGAAAATGGGAGTTCAGATTAAGCAGGGGACCCACCTCATTTGCCACTTATCCTTGATGTTTCGTTTCCAGTTGGGCAAAATCTGAGCAAACTCTTGGGTGGTGTTTAGCTTCACATCTGTTAGGTTTACCCCTTTGTGGTGGGTGAGCCTGCAGGAGTGACAGACAAGAGTTATCACTTTGGAAACAATTACACGTGTGTGTGTGTGTGTGTTCATGAATCTATGGAGCCACTGCATTGGTATGGACTACCGGGACTCCAGGGATGCCCTCCAGATGAGGATAGACTGCAGCTCCCATCAGCCCCAGCCAGCCTGGCCAATGGCAAGGGATGATGGGACTTGTAGTCCAGAACACATCTGGAAGGCCGAACATTGGCTGCCTATTGGCTGCTCATTTTAACTGGAGTTAGCTGGGATGCCTACACCACGCTTCAAAAATGAATTTTCATGTGAGTTTGCAAATAAAATGATAAAGACCACATCAATTTTTAAAAATGTTCAAAATAATCAAAGTTAGTATTTTTTAAAATACATATTAATAATCAAATCTGAAAGTTGCATATCTATCATCTATCTATCTATCTATCTATCTATCTATCTATCTATCTATCATCTATCTATCTATCTATCATCATTATTATTATCTATATCTATCTATCTATCTATCATCTATCATCTATCATCTATCATCTATCATCTATCATCTATCATCTATCTATCTATCTATCTATCTATCTATCTATCTATCTAATCTGCCTTTTTAAAAGCCTGGCAGATGTTGATCTGTGACTGGCTGAAGCCTGGATAGCAGCAAGATCTGATAAGAGAAAGTGATTTGTATCAGATTCTAGTTTGCACTGTGTTATTCAGTTCAACATTTTTTCATTTAAAGACAGGTTGTAAACCACGTGCAGATTCCTTTGGAAATGTGAAATGGTATGGGAATGATTTAAATACATTTGAATGAATGATAAGTGGTATGGGTCTCTGAGTGGAAAGTTTGAGAGGCAGACGTGGTACCGAAAATAAAAATTTCACTCAGAAAACTAGCAAAGTGTGTGTGTTTGTGTGCTTGTAAGAGTGTGCTACAACCAGACCTGGAAGACTACAATTTCAGTGATGCAAAATAATGAAACCTCTGGAGGGGTTCTGTAGATATCCAGGACAGGTTCCATATCCTGTGAGCTGACGGACTGATTTATGCAACTGCCTTTCACAGACAAGACAACAATGCGTGTGGGATTGGGAAGATTTGACACCTCATCTTGCTGCACTTACCGGGCGTGACCCAACCACCTGCAGATTTGCATCCCCAGGGAGACATCCCAGTTTTCATGGCATACCAGAAACCAGTTGGACTGACCCTCAGCCTGCACTTCCAATAAGAAGTTGTTTCTGTTTATTCTGAAAAATACTAAAACGGGGTGGATTAAAAACCTCATCCTGTGGGCTTGATCTGCTCCTGCTGGGAAGGAATTCTGTATTATCTATCATTTTGGAGCAATCAGGCCTTCAGAAGGCATTGTTTTTTAAGGGGAGGGGGAGATAGTGGCATCATAGTGGTGTAAGGAGTTTGCAGTTGTGTCTACATCTTTCAGCTTTTACTTGGTTGTTGGCAATAGCTAGATGAGTTGCACAGATGAGTTGTGCTCCTCAAAAGATCCGTTATCCATACAGCCAGCACCCCCAAAACACACCCCACCTTTCTTCTAAGCACATATGGATGAATCTGTCAGTTTTGAGTTCCCTCACTTTCTCATTTTTCCAGTCTTCGGTTCGTTAGAGTTTGCCATTTTTTAAAAGAGTTCATTTAAAAAAAATTGTGTTAGTCACTGTAATATATATCAGCTGTATCCCGCATTCTCTGTCTGCAAGCACTAGGGCTTTTGCAGTAGCAGACAGGTGAGTTTTAATATTGTGCAACAAAGGAATCTAATGCAGCAGTTGCAGTTAGGGTTGCCAGATCAGAAACATCCCAGACCCTGAGTTTTCAGGGCCCAAACCTGAGACCCTGGTGGTGTCACAGAGGCAGACCCTGATGATTCTTCCTCTGCACATCCTCCATCCACTGAGCCCTGGAGATAGAGGTTCATTGGGACAGGGATGAGCAGCTCACAGTGGAGAGTCTATGCAATTTTGCAGCCTGTTCCTGGTAACTGAAGCTTGGGAACAGCATGCATAATTGTAGTATCAATCAATCAATCAATCAATCAATCAATCAATCAATCAAAAGCACTCTTGCCCACCTGGAGATTCAAGCCCTCCCCCTGCCACCCCAGAGGTCCGGCAACCCTAGCTGCAATAACAGAAACTTGTGCAACCCATTGCACAACAAAGCTACCAACAACATGGCTATGCGTTCTTTTGTGCAACAACACCCATTTCACAGGCAAAACGAGTACACCTCTTAGTGCTCCATTGGAGATTCCCAACCTTTTTTGCTCCCGGCGTCTCCAGCGAGGGTGTCTTGGTCCTTCTCCCCTTCTTCCATCGTTTCCCTGCACCTTGTTAGAGCAGCCTCTGGGTCCTGGAGGGGGGACGACCCCTGAAGGGGAAGGGGCTTCTGCAGTTGTTTCACTAAGAGGACAATGGCAGAAGGAGGGTGGAACAGCAGCCTAGATACTGCGCCCCACATAGCAACCACCAGAGCTGGGCTATCGAAGAAGCAACTTCTCTCCATGTGCCCACCTAAGCCTGGCTATGCAAAACCTCCTAGCCGGCCTGTACTTACCCAGAAACCAAACCCCAATGGTTGTTCCAATCAGCAAGCCAAAGGATCCCAGGAACAAGAGGCACCTCTGGACTGTGCAGGAGTTCACAAGAAATGTTTTTGAAGGCACTTGATACAAAAGGAGAGAGAAATTAGATTATGGGGTGGGAAACTGAAATATCAGAGAAGGGCTGTAGCTCAGTGGCAGAGCTTTTTGCATGCAGAAGGTCCCCAGTAGCATTACCAGGTAGGCCTGAGGATGTCCACTACCTGAAACCCCAGAGAGTTGATGCCAGTACTGAGCTAGACAGACCAAGAATCTGACTTGGTATAAGGAAGCTTCCTCCGTGTTCCTATAATCCTGTTAATGCTCTGGGTTTCATCTTGAAAAATCCTGATGGGCAGGAGGTGGAAGCAGGAGGAGGAGGAGATGGACCACCTCAAGAAACAGGATCCACAGGGGCAGCAGATCCCAATACAGTGGTAACTTGGTTTATGAACTTAAAATCCATTGGGGAAGTCCGTTCTTAAACAAACTGTTCTTAAACCGAGCACACTTTCCCCAATGATCATGGCGTAGCTGGTATCACAAACAGGGGCAAGGCAAGTATTTGCGCCCCTAACCCCTAACCATGGTCATTAATATGACGGCTCACTCTGGTGACTACTGCCTCCGTGGTGTTTTTTTTGCAATTAAAGGACCCTGCCTCAAATAAAGCATCTTGGGATTGGGGACTGGGATTTGCCAAGGGAGCTGGAATTGCAGTTCAGTGGCGGGTCAGGGGGAGAGGGTCCCCTTCCCGCGTCTGGTGCCGCGGCCCTTTGCGCCAAGACGCTCATTTTGGGCGTCGCGGCGCAGCCTTCTAGTCTCCCTCCCCGGCCCCGGCTATCCCTGACGCGGCTTCTTTCTGGGGGGGAGGGGGCTTCTTTCCTGGCGCGGAGGGGCGGCTCTGGGGCATTGCGTCGGCCGGCCTCCGGCGCGGGTGAGGGGGGGCCGTCGGGGCGGGTGGGCGGTCTTGGCGCGCAGGCACTAGAGCGCCGCCGATGGTGCGTTTGGCGGGCTGCGCGCGTCCAGACAGCGACCCGAGCCTGGGCGGCGTGGCGCTTGGTGCCGGAGCCTCCGCCCGCATCGCCCCGTCGGGAGACCCAGCCGGAAGGAGCCTCGAGCCGGCTGTCGGACGCGGTTGAAGCAGCCAGGGCGGCATGGCAGGCGGCGTGCACCCCCTGCACCCCCCACGCTACGCCACTGCTCTCTGCCCCACCGCCAGGCTTCGGAGCAGCCTTCCGAAGGCTGGCGGCGGGAGGAGGTCTCTCCGCCTGGACAGTGGGGTTCCTGCTTCCTCAAGGAGGGCCGGCCAAACGCGCCCCCCCAAATGTTGCGCCCGGTGCGGCTGGCACCCCTGGCACCCCCCACGCTACGCCACTGCCAATGAGGCCTCCCACTGCTGGTGCCCTTCCACCATTCAGATTCCATTCTTAGACCGAGGTAAAGATCTCAAACAGGGACACTATTTCTGGTTTTGAGGAGTTTGTAAACTAAATCGTTCTGTATTCAGGGCCAGCCCATTCATGAGGCAAGGTGACTAAGGATACATCAGGGCAGCAGATCATGATGTCAGTCTTCCTTCCAGTGTGGGAGCCAGTGTGGTGTAGTGGTTAAGAGCGGTAGACTCGTAATCTGGTGAACTGGGTTCGCGTCTCCGCTCCTCCACATGCAGCTGCTGGGTGACCTTGGGCCAGTTACACTTCTTTGAAGTCTCTCAGCCCCACTCACCTCACAGAGTGTTTGTTGTGGGGGAGGAAGGGAAAGGAGAACGTTAGCCACTTTGAGACTCCTTAGGGTAGTGATAAAGCGGGATATCAAATCCAAACTCTTCTTCTTCCCCACTTGTTCCTGATATAAATAGTCCCTCACCTTTTCTTCCCTGATGGGGAGGGGGGTGCAATTTTGGGGTGCCAAAATGTCTTGGGCTGGCCCCGTCTACTGCCCACCCAGCTTTTATGACTCCCAGGTCCAATGCCATCAAATAGCTCACCATTCCCTTTCGATGCCCGTGATCTCTCTTCCCCCTTTGCCTCTGAGGAGGGACCAGGATTGTGGCTTTGAACCTGAGGGTTAAACCACACATGACATTTATTCGCAGAGGGAGACGGCTGAAGGTCATCCCCATTTGGGTGGGTGGAGACAGCAGTTTTGTGGCAACTTAAAGGCTAGAATGGTCTTACAGCATAAGCTTTCAAAGTCTAAAGTCCATTTCAAAAGTGTTATATACTGTTAAATACCTTTCTGCCAGCCTCCAAGTTTATGAAAGCGAGAGCTGTATGTAAACCACCCATCAGTCATTCTGGATCACATCCTGACAAAACCAACCACTGGACTTTTATCAGTATTTATCTTATGGAGACAGTTCCCTTCAAGAGCACAAGGACTGTCAGGACTTACTAAATGAAACAAAACATTCCCTGCAGGTCTCCAATGTGATTTATCGTACTGAGTGTGAGAGCCCAGGATGCCACAGTCAGTTTGTGTGTAAGAACATCAACTGACCTACGCACATGTTTTAGGAATCATACTGTAAATCCACTGCAAACTTGACAAAAATAAATCTATCAGAACAACCACTTGCAAAGCACTTGGGTCTGGAAAATCACAGCTCCTCTGATTTATCAGGTACTGCAAGAGAGAAATTACCTTGTTCCAGGAACACTGGAAACAAGATAAAATGTCTGGATTTACAGACTTTTAACCTTGAGACCATATGGCCCCACTTTGGGACATAGTAATACCTGCCATCACTTAGCTTCAGCACATGCAATATGGTAGTATTTTTGCTTTGTTAGTCACTGTTAATAGGCACACAACCTACACCCCTAGCTAGAAAAAGAGAGAGAGAGAGAGAGAGAAATGGGGCTGTATGGGAATAAAAGTTCAAAAAGTACAGCAATTGTAGATAAGCAAAGCAACCAATTCACAGCAACAAAAACTGGTGATTACCCCATCATTCAGGTTTTGCTGTGTAAATTTACCCCCAGCAGTGGGAACAGGGAACCATAGTCTTAATTCAAGGCTAAGCTTATAGATTCAGACTTCTTGATTGGTTCTAACCAGACAGTTTCATCCTGGAGTCTCCCTCTAAAATCCCTCTGTTTGAGAAAGGAAACTCTTAAGTCAGAAGTGTCTGGAGAGATTGAAATGACCCCACTTCTGGTTTCTATTTCTGATGTCAGAAATTTTGTTTCCATTTGTTCTTTTGCATAGAGACTAGCCTGTTAGTACACTGCAGAAGGGGCATTACCTGAAGGGGGTGTGTGGCTTGGACCACAATGGAATCTGAATCAAATTTGGTCCAAAAAATCTAATTATATTTCATGACAAATCTAGTGACACACACCAAGAATGTTTGAAGAAACCACCCCTGCAAAAGACAAAAAATAGGCAGTGATTTACCAATGTTTCTGACTTTGAATTGGCAGGGAATGTTGGAGGATGAGTGATAGATACATCACCAGTCATTTTATTTCCAGATTGCCCCTTGCTCTCCTATCTCCACAACTGTAGGATGCCAGAGTCATGCTTGAGATGCTTGAGATATTCTGCAGCTCATGTAGCCATCGGAGAAGAATTTAACAGGGGTATATTACCATTAAATGGGACGCGGGTGGCGCTGTGGGTTAAACCACAGAGACTAGGACTTGCTGATCAGAAGGTCAGCAGTTCGAATCCCTGCAACGGGGTGAGCTCCCGTTGCTTGGTCCCAGCTCCTGCCCACCTAGCAGTTTGAAAGCATGGTCAAAGTGCAAGTAGATAAACAGGTACCACTCTGGCAGGAAGGTAAACGGCGTTTCCGTGCACTGCTCTGGTTCGCCAGAAGCAGCTTAGTCCTGCTGACTACATGACCCAGAAGCTGTACGCCGGCTCCCTCGGCCAATAAAGTGAGATGAGCGCCGCAACCCCAGAGTCGGTCATGACTGGACCAAATGGTCAGGGGTCCCTTTACCTTTTTTATCTTACCATTGCAGGGAATGCCAGTAGGTCAAAATGATGTCTGGAGCTTCAGTTCATCGCTTCAAGGTGCAGGAGACGAGGGCTGAATAGGGCCAAGCTGGTGACTCATCATTAAATAGGCCACTGGCTCAGATTCCTCGCTTTGTGCATGCACAATCCACGCACCTCCTACCCCAACAGTGAATAGAGCCATTGTTTTAGCCAGGAGGTCAGGTGGCTGGTTGGTTGATTTCCCCAACCAGCTGATGGGACACCTGGAAAGAGAGACAAGCATGTGGTTGCTTAGCAACCCCTCCTCTCTCTCCCAAGCCGGGAAAGATGCCCCAACCTGCATGGTGCAGGACAACCTTCCCGGGTGCTTGCTCAGAGCAAGAAGGCTGAGCGATGTTTGCAGTTGATGAAACGGTGTCGAAAGCAGGAGCACAGGACAAGGGCTCTCTCTGGCTGGAGTCAAGACGTTATGGGGGAAGTGAGAAATCACTGTAATTATTGAAGGAAATGAACTCCTATTCCAATCTCTCTAAAGGTCACAAGCCATGTCGTCATCACCAAAGCTCCACAGCTGTCCCTCCAACACATGGCTCCTTTTGTGACGTATAGTCACCGACATTTGATGGAGAGAAAAAGAGGTACCAGTTTTTAAGTGAAAGACTATGACAGTGATCCAGAATAACTTGCTTTTCATGGTGTCTTGTGGTGAACCCCACTGAAGGTTGCTTATTCTACAGTGGTACCTTGGCTCTGAAATGCCTTGGTACTCAAACAGCTTGGAACCCAAACACTGCAAACCTGGAAGTAAGTGTTCCAGTTTGCGAACTTTATCCGGAAGCCGAACATGCTCTGTTTGGAGTGTTATGCTTCCAATTTGAGTGCCACACTTCCCTTTTGAGTGCCATGCTGAGGTCTGTCTGCTTTTGCTATTTATTATTATTATTATTATTATTATTATTATTATTTTGCATTTTTGTTTTTGCAGCTTTTTTGTGATTGTGTGGAAACTAGTTCAGCTACTGATTGATTGATTGTGTGACTGCAGTACATTGATTATTGCTTTCATTTTATGGATCAATGGTCTTGTTAGATAGAAAAATTCATGTTAAATTGCTGTTTTAGGGGTTGTTTTAAAAAATCTGGAACGGATTAGTCCATTTTGCATTACTTTCTATGGGAAAGTACACCTTGGTTTTGGAACGTTTTGGTTTTGGAACAGACTTCCAGAACGGATTAAGTTTGAGAACGAAGGTACCACTGTATTTGAAAGGGATTTAATATATTTAGCACACAGGTGGGAAGTGTGTGGCCCTCCAGATATTGTTGGTCTCCCATCATCTCTGACCGTTCATCCTGCTGGCTGGGATTGGTGGGAACCAGAGGCCCCAGGAAAATAATTTAAATCCCCCAGAGCTGTCAAAGACTGTAAGGGAGGAGTGTGGAACATCTGTGGCCTTCTAGAGATGGACTACGACTCCCATCATCCCTGACCATTGCCCTTGCTGGCTGCTGGGAGTTGGAGTCCAACAAACTCTGGCAAGCATTCTGATTTCTGTTGTCAAAGATATACCCTGTACCACCTAGAAAACATGCCTTCCGCCCATAAAATTTATGTTAAAAATTCCGTATTTCAAAACTCTGTGCCTGCTAGCAAAGTTGTTTCATCCTGTACCAATGCAATACAATTTCTGCCCTTCAAAGAGGTAGCCTTGAATGAAATCAATGGGTTTTCTTGCATATGCTTAATTTTGGAGTGGGCATTATTCTTTGTCAGATTTCTTTTTTTAAAACTCCCTAATTGCAAGAGTGCTCAAAACAGGCAATATCAAGAACAATTCAAAATAAAATGTTATATTAATATATATAATACATATTTTCCAAGACAAGGAAGCACTTCTATGTCAACAGAATTCAGCTCCATATCATGTTGCTGCTGTGTGCAAAAGGTGGTTTCCTGAGAATCATTTTCCATTGCTGGAATGGCCTGGGAATAATAATAATAATAATAATAATAATAATTTATTATTTGTACCCTGCCCATCTGGCTGGGTTTCCCCAGCCACTCTGGGCGGCTTCCAACAAAGATGAAAGATAACACTAAAATGTCACATATTAAAAACTTCCCTGAACAGGGCTGCCCAGACCTTAACTCAATCGAATAACCCAGACCTTAACTCAATCGAAAATCTATGGAGTTGACTAAATACACTTGCTAGTCAGAAGCAACCCAGCAATAAAACCCAATTAATAGAGGCAATAATTCAATCTTGGTTTCACATTATTACAGCTGCAGAACTAAAAAACTTGGTTTACTCCATGGGAAGGCTTTGTAAGGCCGTAATTAAAGTTAAAGGTTACCCAACTAAGTATAAACAAACTTAGTTGGTCTCTAAGGTGCTACTAGACATTTTTTAAATTTTTTATTATTTATTCCAACTAAGTATTAACTGACATGGTGAGAATTTCTATATATCTCATTTTTTCTATGTGTTTCACGTTTCTTCTTTATGACTGCTGTTGTAATAAATAATCCTTCATAAAAGTTATTGCATTATATTCTTCATTAAATTATCTTTCAAATGATATATAATTCTATGGTATTACTCAAAAAAAGAAAAAGTGGTGTTATTATCCATCAAACCTCGGAAATACACTTTTTCCAAAAGGTTTCCACAATTTTGGCCACTAGTGTATATTAAGGCAAGCTCACTGGCATTCAGAGAACTTGTTTAACAATGCCTTACCCCAGATTTGTCCTGGCTGCAGAGAGAGGCAATGCAGAATACCTGTTCAACAGCTGCCATCTCAGCCAGCCTCATTGTTCTCTGCCTGCTGGCTGTGACATTTCAAAGCCAACTTTCCTCAACCTTCATTACTTTCTCACCAGGACAAAGACAGCCCTCCTTTGTGGTTGCCACTCAATGCTCTCATTCTCTCAAAAGGCTGCCAATAACAAAGCCTTTCTTTTTCTACCCTGGCTTCTGATTGATTAAAAAAGAGAACTTCAAACACACAGAGAGACAGGGACACATCTTCTGGTGGGTGGGTCAGGGACGTAGGAAGGTGTATGTGGGGGGGGGGAGTGCGGGCCGCCCTGGGTGTCATCCTGAAGGGGGGTGACATTTGGCGTGGCCCCCCTCTCCCGTGACTCCCCCAAGCCCAGCAAGGGGCAAAGCAGCTGCTGCGGATCTCCCCCTTTCCCTGGCTTGCTGTAGGCTTGGGAGTTGCTGGGGGGGGGGGCGCCAAATGTCAACCCCCTTCAGCCTGAAGAGGGTAGACCTTCAGTCCCCCCATGCCGAGACTGCCACCCGGGGAGGATTGCGCAGCCGCGTCCATCGGCCCTGTGGGTGGATCGGCCCGCCCCTTGGGTGGATCTTCCCCACCATAGCTGTCAATGTTTTCCTTTTTTAAAGGGAAATTCCCTTATTCCTAATAGGATTCCTCGCAAGAAAAGGGAAAAGTTGACAGCTATGGTCCCCACACCTTTGGGCGGATCGCCCTGCGTCCCGGGTGCATGGCATGTGTGCCGCTCTGGGTGCCGGAACACCCAGCTACACCACTGGGGTGCGTGGGTGGGTGCCAATTATTCTAATATTTTAAGGCCAAACTAAATGCGATGTGAACCATTCATGGTCAGATCGCCTGAGATACCTTTTAGCCCAGGTGTCGGCAAACTAAGGCCCAGGGGCTGGATGTGGCCCACCAGGCTCGTAGATCCGGCCCGCAGACCCTGCTGCCCACTCAGTCAGTCCCTGTGCGCTGAGGTAAACCAGCACTGCCGCGGATGCCTCGCCTCACAGGGACTGACTTCTGTGACACTGGCATGGCTTCAGCTTGGCTGAAGGAAGCTCCTTCAGCCTATCCGAAGCCGTAGATGCCTCTGGGTGGGCTGCAACGCTGCTGCTCCTGCAGCCAATCCGAAGCCTCGTTGCCCATGCGCTGAGGTAAACCCGGCGTGGCCATGGACGGAGACGCTGGTGGGCGGCAGGTCTGGGCCACGCCATGGGCATTGTGACGGGCATGTTGCAGGGCTTCATCCAGAGCTTGGTGAACCTGCTAGCCCCGCACCTGGTGCCCGGCTTGGCGCTGCTGCTGCTGGTGTCCTCGGCAGCTGCACTGGAGCAGTTGGAGGGTGAGCTGTGAGCCGCCTGCCCAGCGCTCTGTGTGCGCAGCCTGCCCACGGATGCCGAGAAGTGCTCCTGAGCGCGTGCAGAGAGCGTTCCTCCTCCAGGTCCAGAGGCGGCTGCGGGACGGTCTTGCAGGGTATTAATATTTTTCAAAATATAGTCTGGCCCCCCACAAGGTCTGAGGGACAGTGGACCGGTCCCCTGCTGAAAAAGTTTGCTGACCCCTGTTTTAGCCTGAAAATCAAGTGTATGTGGGGTTTTGTTTCTTTGGGAGGGGTGAATTGGATCAGGACTGCAGTTCTGCACGGGATGATTATGAATTTCCTCCAGCTCCATATCTCTGGAGACAATACAGTGGTACCTCGGGTTAAGAACTTAATTCGTTCTGGAGGTGTGTTCTTAACCTGAAACTGTTCTTAACATGAGGTACCACTTTAGCTAATGGGGCCTCCCGCTGCTGCCGAGGTACTATTTCTGGGTTAGCGGAGTCTGTAACCTGAAGCGTCTGTAACCTGAAGCATCTGTAACCCTAGGTACCACTGTACACTCCTCCTCCAAAGCCTTGATTAGCTGTGGACAGTAAAGAAAAAAGGACAAGCAAATGTATTTTGCCTGCAGATAATAGTGGTTTGGGGGAGGTATTTAAAGAAGGTTAATGGTATGAGTGGAAACCCCCTTGACCAGCACTGTGACCCCCCTTCCCTTCCCAGTTGCTTTTAAGACTACAATACAAGGGCATGTGGATATGTGGTCCCAGACTCAGGTTCTAGGCTAGTCAAGTACAGTTTCGCCTTGGAGTCGTTTTGAACAGGGGAAGGCAGTAAGTGCTGGGCTTGACCCCTTCATAAGACACAGGGATGTGTAGAGGAATGGGGACAGAAATTCAGTTCAGGTTTCATTTGAAGGCAAACTTCCTTAATTTGCACTTTCTGAACAAGATAGGAACGGAAACACAGCCATTCCTCAAAACTCAAATCTCACACAAA